CGTCAGGATCGTTGAAAGAATAAGCTAATGATATTCTAGTTTACCTGTTTTGTACTGAGATTCTCACTTAAAAGTTATTGGAATACATTATTTTCCATTGCAAAAACATTAGTTTGCTACAGATTATTGAGTTTTTTGTTTTGTTTCATAATGGGCAGGGCAGACAATATTTCTTGGGCCTTATTTCTGTTTAGGATGATTCCTTAGATCATCCTACAATTCCTCCTGTAAGAAGAGTAAAGAAATCCAGATTTATCATTCTGAAAGATCCTACACTTCGCCTTCTGATGTCAATAGCAGTCTTGTTCTATTATATGCAAATTGAAGCTTATATAAATGAGATTTTTTTCATTTATTTTTGAAAGATTACTTTACTTGCTGTCCACTGTAATTTCTACAATTTTCTGTAATTTAAGATGAAGTTAATTTACAAAGTAACTGGAGGTTTCTTGAAACTTAACAAAGGAAAGATACTGGAGTATTGATAATGCTGGCATATACTCTTTGGGATTTGGTTTCCGCTAGTATTTTTATCAAGCATAAACCCATTTTTAAGACAAACCCAAAAGCTATCCAAGAAAGCAGATTCAAGGACTTGGCTGTCCAAAAATTCAGATTAGAGAATTTAAATCTATCGATTATCCTCAGCCTCTGTGGGTTTGGCAGACGTCAATAGCAAGCTTGGCTAAACAATCCACAAAATAGGTGCTGTAAAGCTGTGTTTATTTTTGAATCCTGCCATGCCCTTTGTGGTAAGCTGTATGCTGGGACTGAATGTTTTGAAAGTGAAATGCTGAAATTTTGGGTGTCTCTGTGTGAATTGTCTATGGGCAAGGATTTAGGGACTAGGATTAGTGTGAAGATGCAGGCTACAGGACCGGGTTGGTTGTGTAACGCTGCTGGAGCTTGAGCAATGGATTGAAGCCTGACACTAATTGCTCCAAGTATGTTTATCCACATTTTTGAGTGTATGCATGCGTAGTCAGTCTGCAGTCTAGATTGTGATTTGAGATAGGGTAGGGGTGGTGGTTGGTGGCACTGGGAATTTCAGAACCAGTTCGATTGCAGACTTCCTGGGGTAGGTTTAGGGCTGGTCCCATTTTATTCCATGTTTGATTCTGTATTTTTGGGCAGAAGCGGTTTCTGCATCTCTGCAGAATGAGGGGTAGGGTTGTGGGAAGGGGTGGGCTTTATGAAAAAGAAATAAAGGCTGTAGAAGGCAGGTGACTGAGGGCCTGGCAGGTTTCAACAGAGATGAGCAGAAGACTCACTCTGTTCGGTTTGGATGTTTAATTTTCTATCGTGTACGTTTCCTGTGTAAACGAGGGCTAGGGTATGTAAAAATGAATGTCATGGAGCAAGTGTGAATATTTCATCCTGCCTAGCCTTCAGAGATAAAAATGTCCATCTGTGCTAGTTGGCTTAAAGGCTTTATTCTGAATTTTCAGGCGCCACTATGTAGCTGGTCCATATGACGAAGCTAATGATTTGGAGTGCAGTTTTATGAAAGTTAAGGCTGCCAAACAAGGCTTATTCTTGAAATTTGCTAGGCCCTGAGAAGACAGTTTGAGAGTGTGAATGCTTTCTGCTCAATCCCTTGGTGGAGCAGTTTGTTCCACGTATTTTAGCCTGACGAGAAGCGGGGATGCGCCGGGGATAGACCTGTAAAAGTAAAGGCAGCAGAAAGAGAGGGACTGTTTCGATTTGGCCCTCAGACATCTGCTGAGGGTTGACCTGAGGTAATGTGAATGCCTTGTCTTTGGGGACAGCATCTGACCAACTCCTTTTGCTCCAGGTGCACAAGAACATGCAAAGATGTGGCAGCATCCATTACGTTCTGCATAAAACCCAGCAGTAAATAAAAATA